CCATAGAAGACCTTCAAAAGATCTTCCGGTCATAGAAGACCTTCAAAAGGTCTTTTGGTAACAGAAAACCATTAAAAGGTCTTCTGGTCAAAGAAGACCTTCAAAAGGTCTTTTGTCCATAGAACCCTCAAAAGGTCTTCTGTCTATAGAAGTCGATAGAACCCTTCAAAAGCTCTTCTGGTCATAGAAGACATTCTAAGGATCTTCTGGTCATAGAAGACCATCAAAAGGTCTTCTGGATATGGAAGACCTTTAAAAAGGTCTTCTGGTCAGGAAGACCTTCAAAAGGTCTTCTGGTCATAGAAGACTTTCTAAAGGTTTTCTCGTCAGAGAATACTTTCAAAAAGTCTTCTGGTCATAGAAGACCTTTAAAAAGTTTTCTGGTCATAGAAGACCTGCAAAAGGTCTTCTGGTCATAGAAGACCTTCAAAAGGTCTTCTGTCTATAGAAGACCTTAAAAACGTCTTCTGGTCTTTGTCTATAGAAAACCCACAAAAGGTCATCCGTTCATATAAATTCTTCAAAAGGTCTTCTGGTCATAGAAGACATTCAAGAGGTCTTCTAGTTATAGAAGACCTTCAAGAGGCCTTCTGGTCATAAAAGACCTTCAAAGGGACTTCTGGTCATAGAAGATCTTCAAAAGACCTTCTGGTCATAGAGACCTTCAAAAGGTCTTCTGGTCATAGAAAACCTTCAAAAGGTCTTCTGGTCATAGAAGACCTTCAAAAGGTTTTCTGGTCATAGAAGACCTTCAAGACCTTCAAAAGGCCTTCTGGTCATGGAAGTCCTTCAAAAGGTCTTCTGGTCATAGAAGACCTTCAAAGGGTCTTCTGGTCATAGAAAACCTTTAAAAGATCTCTTGATCTGGTCATAAAAGCCCTTTAAAAGGTTTTCTGGTCATAGAAGACCTTTAAAAGGTCTTCTTTCATAGAAGACCTTCAAAAGGTCTTTTGGTCATAGAAGACCTTCAAAATTTCTTCTGGTCATAGAAGACCTACAAAAGATCTTCTGGTCACAGAAGGCCTTCGAAAGGTCTCCTGGTCATAGAAGACCTTCAAAAGGTCTTCTGTCATAGAAGACCTTCAAGAGGTCTTCTGGTCATAGAAGACTTTAAAAGATCTTCTGGTCATAGAAAACCTTTAAAAGGTCTTCTGGTCATAGAAGACCTTCAAAAGGCCTTCTGGTCATAGAAGACTTTTAAAAGGCCTTCTGTCTTAAGGAGACCTTCAAAAGGTCTTCTGTCTATAGAAGACCTTTAAAAGGTCTTCTGGTCATAAAAGACATTCAAAAGGTCTTCTGGTCATAGAAGACCTTTAAAAGTCCTTCTGTTCATAGAAGACCTTAAGGCCTTCTGTCTTAAGGAGACCTTCAAAAGGTCTTCTGTCTTAAGAAGAGCTTCAAAAGGTATTCTGGGCATAGAAGACCTTCAAAAGACCTTCTGGTTATAGAAGACCTCCAAACGTTCTACTCCAAACTTATATAAGACCTTCAAAAAGTCTTCTGTTCATAGAAGACCTTTGGAAGGTCTTCTGTATATAGAAGACCTCCAAAAATTCTACTGGCCATATAAGACCTTCAAAAAATCTTCTGTTCATAGAAGACCTTTGGAAGGTCTTCTGTCTATAGAAGACCTTTGGAAGGTCTTCTGTCTATAGAAGACCTCCGGAAGAAGACCTTTCTTGTAAGAACCCTCTCTATTCCTTTCCTGCCTCGTATCCTTTTTCCCATTTTCCTCAGTGGATGTGTGCGTCACACTTTCATGAAATATTGATTTGCCATCAGTGCGTTTGTCCCTTTGTGCCGACAGCTTTCCATTCGGAGCATTCCTGCAGCCACCAATCAAGGTGTGAAAAAGTCAAATGGCTTCAATTGTCCGACATTAAAGAAAAAACAACTCCCATCGTCTCCATTTGCCCCATCATCTCTTTTTGCGAAGGGGGGAGAGATAAATGAAGTTGGTAGTGTTTTGAAATATTGAAGTCATTTATCAAAGTTATTGCCCTGGCAATTGCAACAATGATCACTGGACAAGTCAACACCATCAGAATGTTTTTTGTCTGTCATCATGGGGCTGTAGACTCTGTTGCTTGCGTCTCCTCCATTTCCTTCTGTTTCAGCAATTTGGTTAGTGAAGGATAATGGCAGTTGCCATTTAGAAAATGAGTTTTTAAGCAAGTCGTCTGTGGGAGGTGTTGATTGAGAGAATGTTTGCAAAGCTTAAAGGGCAAAGGGTTTCCAAGGGAATTGGAGGATAACAAGAAGTTATTAAAGAACGGATCGGAGCAATAATTATCGACTTGGTGCCCTATGCTACATTACTTAAGATACCAAAAAAAAAAGTTTCCATTTACCACATATAGATGTCGTTTTTCTTGGAATGCCTTTCTTAATCCATGTGGCGCTCAATACGTCTTGAAGTCGTAGATTCTTTAATTCTTTAATTCGTTCCCATTTCCTACATAGTATACATGTTGTTTGTCTTGGTATGCCTTTGGCAAACCATGTGACGGCCAATACGAATTCGAGTCGTTGATTCCGTTTTTAATTTGTTATTTCTGTTATTTGTTGTTTTGTTATTTTTGAAGAACATTTAAAAGGTAGTCATCCAAGGATAAAGAAGCAATGGAGCCTAAGGTCCTTTGAAAATACTCCACCCATCTATAAAAGGAAGTCTAACCGTAGAAAATCTATAATCCTAAGCTACATTACATAGGAAGCCAATATTCCATATTCTGTTGTGGGTACCTTTGCCTGTTGAAGATGCTCCCATTTCTCACCCATAAATGTCGCTTGTCTTGAATATGCCTTTGGCAAACAATGTGGCGCCCAATACGACTTTAAATCGCTGAGTCCTAAGGGATATTATTTTGAAGCAAATTTGAAAGAAAGCCATCCAAGGATAAAGAAGCAACGGGAGCCTATGTTTGCAAAGTAGGAGGAAGTGTAACCACAGAAGATCTAGAATCGTCTTAGCTATACCTTTGGCAAACAATGTGGCGCCCAATACGTCTTTAAGTTGTTGATATTTTATGAATATTATTTTGAAAGAAATTTGAAAGGAAGTCATCCAAGGGTAAATAAGCAACGATATCCTGTGCTTACAAGGTCCTTAGGAGGAAGTCTAATCATAGAAGATCTAGAATCGTCTTAGCTGCGCCTTTGGCAATCAATATGGCGCCCAATACGTCTTTAAGTCATTGATTCTTTATAAATATTATTTTGAAGAAAATTTTATAAGAAGCCATACGAGGATTAAGAAGCAATGGGAGATTCTGTTCACAAGGTCCATAGGAGGAAGTCTTACCATAGAAGATCTATAACCGTGGACTACTTAGGATTTTTTCAGGATGGGGTTAATTTCTAGAAATTTTTCTTCAGCGTTATGTGGATCCTTTAGGGATTTTTTTGTAGCATGGATTCTTCGGAATTTTTTCAGCGACCAATGATATATTGCAAAAGAGACCCAAAATGTTATATTATGTAGTTGGTGTCATTTAATATATATTTTTTTCATTTCCCACTTATAGATGTCGTTTGTCTTTCAGGTGTAGATAACAGCAATTGCCATTTTTTTTTTAACAAGTCATCCGGTGGATGTCTTGATTAAGAGTAGGTTTACATAGCTTTAAAGGTTTCCAAGGGAGTAGGTAAAAGGCTTCCAAGGGAGTTAGAAGTTACCAAGAAAGGATAAGAGGATGAGAGTGTGTCTAGAATCCGATATATTAAACCCGCTGCAGAAAATATCTTCTTGGATCATTGGTGTTTTACAGAGATTGAGTAAAAAAGCAGTTCGGTTCGCCTAACTTTTAAAACTCTCCACCATTTGGAAGGAACTTGAAAAATTGCAAAAAAAATCCATCGAAAAATAACGTCTAAACGAAAACCGCATGTGTGAGGCCTATTACGGAGACGTGGATCAGCATATTTAACTTTTTATGATAGGCTGCAATACCGATTCCGAACTTCAAATACCAAATTTAAAACAATTCTGGTGAATAATGTCGCCAATATTATCAAAATACCGAATATCAGGAGGTACCGTTATATGGGGGCCATACGAAAACGGGGACCTGCATAGATATTTTTCTGCCATAGCTTGCAGTACCCATTGCGAACTTAAAATACGAAATTTGAAACAATTCCGCTAAATAATGTCGCTAAAATCATCAAAATACCAAATTTTTGGAGGCTCCGTTATATGATGGCAATACGAGGACGTTAACCTGCATAGATAATTTTCTGTCATAGCTTGCAGTACCTATTGCGAACTTAAAATACGAAATTTGAAATGATTCCCCCAAATAATGTTCGCTAATATCATAAAAATGCCGAAAATTGGAAGGTACCGTTATATGGTGGCTATACGAAGACGTCGGCCTGCAAATGTCTTTTTTTATGGGCTGTAGTACCCATTATGATCTTCAAATACTAAATTTGAAACAATTCCTCTAAATAATGTCGCTAAAATCATCAAAATTCCGAATATCGGAAGTTTTCGTCGTATGGGGGCTATACGAAGACGCGGACCAGCAGACGCGATTTTTTGTTATAGGCTGTATAGGCCTATTACGAACTTTAAATTCGAAATTTGAAACAATTCCGCTGAAGAATGTCGCTAAAATCATCAAAATACCACATTTTTGGAGATTCCGTTATATGGTGGCTAACGTGGACCGGCGAACTTAAACTGCCTACGAACTTAAACGGCCTACTAGGAAAATACACATGTGTGTAAAGCTTCTTAGCCTTCTATCTCAATTTCTTCGAAAGACAGTGTGATTACAACAGACAGATGGAGAGAGAGACATAAGGACATCGCCAAATCGACTTCGAATTTTACGCTGAGAACATAAACACTTTGTTGGGTCAAACATTAGTATTCCGAGGAGTTATAAACGGAATGAAAAAGTAAATATACCCTCCACAGTATGGTGGAGGGTATAAAAATAGCTTAAATATTACTAAGAATACTGCTTGAAGTGTAGGATCCATCTCCTCCTCCGTCCACTGCCTGTATTGAAACAAAAATTTTCAAATGTTGATTTTGAAAATAAACAAATATAAATATTCCAAAAGTCAAAATTGAAAAGTCCAAATTCTGATGGGTAATATATTTTTTCTCCGATCTCTCTCCTTTCAACATCTAAATATTCACAACCCACTCCTTTTTCCCCTACACAGCTTCGCAAATATTCCAGCCCTGCAATGCTGAGAACTCGGAAAATTCTTCCACAGCAGACTCCCAAGACTTTCCCCTGCTGCCGTGTCAAAAGAAACTTCAACTACGAGCCGAGGATGAAATAAGTGTGGATAGTATCTTCTCCACGCTCCTGTCAAAAATCAAACCCTCTTCCGAGGAATTTCGTAACCTAAAATGGGATCTAAATGCCAAAGATTTTCACAATGAAAAACAATCGATGTTATTTGAGGAAAAGCTATACATTTCCCAGCTGCAAGATGGCGATTGTAAACTAAACGAGGAGGTGAAGATTTTTATGGAACGTGAACTGGAAGAGGTGGGAGAGTTGCGCATCAAAGTGGAGGAAAGTTATGATGGCTATGTGATCTATGCCAAAAGTCGTATGGTCAAGGATAAGGGGAAATACGAAGCTGGCCATTGGACAAGGGGCAAATATGGTGATAAATTCCAGTTGATATGCGAGAAGCGAAGCGAATACGATTTTGTGGATAATGCAAGGATTGTAAGTTAAAGGAACAAAAAAGAAGAGGAGGGAGATCTGCAAACAGAAGTAAGGTGTAAATGGGAGAATGTGTTCTGTAAGACTTTTCCGAGCTCCGTGTCTAGAAGAGCCTCTAGGAATACGCTTTAGTAAAGAGAAATGTCAAAGGATTTCTAGAAATAGAAAATCTTCCAGAAGTCCCAGTAAAGCTCTTCTGTGACGAGAAGATTTCCAAGAGGTCTTCTATGAGGAACACACTTTTTAAAGTTCTTGGAGGTATAAATAAATGTTTAGAGATTTTCTTTTCCCACAAGACTTTCTGGATTTCTTCGAAGATATCCTGAAGTGATTTCCCATAGTAAGGAAAGCTTCGGGAGTACTGCTATTAAATGAGGACCTCCTTGACGACTTTTAGCAATTCAGTGTACCCCATAAATGAAAAGACCTGAGAATCCTACATAAGGTATTATCTCTACAGAAGATATTCAAAATATTTGGTATACATGCAGAAAATACTAAATTTATTAAATTCGGAAAGAGCTTTTACATGTCCTTCAAATCTTTTAGATCTTTTGAAGGGCTTCTACGTAGACAAGATCTTGAGAAAAAACCCTTTAATTGGATCTGTAAATGTTCTTTGGAAATATCTTTCTGACCATAAAAGTCTTGAAGGAGGACTTCTACTTTTGTTTTGAAAAAGACTTCTTGGAAGTCTTTCATCTGCGGAGGCCCTCCAGAAAGTCATTTTTCCCAGGTATTAAGTCTATGGAAATCGTGTAGTAGTTCTTACCACAAAAAATTCTACGTGGTTTCTATAGACTTACTCAGTGGCCACAAGACCTTCCCGAGGTCGCTGACATAGATAGAGGACCTAACACAGATGTTCTAATGCCACAGCATGCTTTACAATATTTCCATGGCTGGAAAAGCCTTAATAGGTCTTATCTGTTTATGAGCACCTCTAGGTCTCTTCCATAGTGAGATACTTTTCTTAGATATCTGAAAAGGACGATCCCTGTGGGAGAGAGTCTTTAGGTCTCTTCCATAGTGAGATATTTTTCTTAGGCCTCTCAAAAAGGAAGGTCCCTGGGAGTTTTCTAAACACACCGTATCTCTAGGAAATATTATTGTTTTTTTTTTTTTTTTTGTTTTCAGGTAGAAATATCAAATGGAGGTCTTCTATGGCTGGTGGTATTTCTACCGTATTTTTATGACTAGAAGATCCTTTCTGAGGTTTCTTTCTTGCATTATTAATGGAAGGGAGAACCTTTATATGTCTTCTTTGAATCTCTTAAAATCTTATATAGTTATAGGTTTTTTTCCGTTATAGGTTGTAATTTCTGAAGAGATAAAAGGGAGGCTGATGGTGAGTGATAGAGGAGGAAGAGATAATCAAAGCAGAAACAGATCGGAGGAGGAGAGATACAGTGGAGAGAGGGACAGTAAAACGCAGAGGGTCGGGGAGTGATGGGGGTATTCCGCTGTTAGTCTCCAAAATCATTCTATAGATATGGAAAGGATAAGATATTTTCTTCTAGACCCTGCAGACTTCTTGAAAGTGTTTTTGTACCGAGGTCACTGGCACAGATATAGGACATAATACAGATATTCTAATGTCCAGCATCCTTTACAATATGTCTATGACTGGAAGACCCTTTATAGGTCTCCTCTGTTTATGAGAGTCTCTTAGTGAAATACTTTTCTAAGACCTCTGAAAGATCATCAAAGGAAGATCCCTGCGAGTTTTCTAACCGCACAGTTTCTTTAGAAAATGTTTTGGTCTTCTATGTTTTTAGGTTGAAATATCAAATGAAGATCTTCTATGGCTGGAGGTCTTTCTCCAATATCTATATCACTAGAATACCTTCCAGAGGTTGTTTGCAGCCAGAAGGCCATATGTCTACCAAAATTAGAAGATCTAATAGAGCTCTTAAATGGAAGGAAGATCCTTTAAAGGTTTTCTTCGTGCCTCTTTAAATGCTCTCTGGTTATAGGTTTTTTCCAGAGGTATTCTATGCCACAAAAAGAGGAAATAATTTGGTCTTCTATGTTTTTAGGTTAGAATATCAAAATAGGGGTCTTCTATGGCTGGAGGTCTTTCTCCAGAGTCTATATCACTAGAATACCTTCCGGAGGTCCCTTATAGCCAAAAGACCTATTATATCTCTACCATGATTAGAAAATCTAACAGCGTATTTAATGGAAGGAAGGTCCTTAACATGGCTTCTCCAAGCCTCTAATGGTTATAGGTATTTTCCACATGTATTCTATGCCTCAAAAAGAGGAAATAATTTACGGCGGCCTTTTATCTCAATTCGTTCGAAAGATAGCATGATTACAACAGACGGACAGACAGACAGACGGGCATCGCTAAATCGTCTTAGAATTTTACGCTCATCCAGAATATAAATACTCTGTAGGGTCTTTCCCGAATATTTCGAGGAGTTACAAACGGAATGACAAAGCCAATATACCCTCCATAGAATTGTTGAGGATATAAAAAGAGGCATACAAAATCTGTAGATGGCTTTCTCGATAGGTTTTCTTGTAATTTAAAAAATAAAATTTCGAAGGTCATAGTATAGAAGATTTCTGGAGTGTCTTACATTCACAAAAGACCTGTAATAGGGCTTTCAGTCATGGCGCTCAAGACAGGCTACTTTTCTTAAAAAGACCTTTCTCCTTTCCTCGCTAGTCCTTTAATCGCTAAAATTGTTTCTGGAAGTCTTTTGGGCCTAGAAAAAGATCTTCTGTCCATAGAAGACCTTCTGTCCTTGAAATGGTTTTCCAGACTTACTGAAGAGCTGTTGGATGCAGAATAGCTATATCATTCCCTACATCATATACCCTCCATAGAATGGTTGAGGATATAAATAGAAGCATACAAAATCTGTAGATGGCTTTTTTGAAGGTCTTACTATAGAAGATTTCTGGGAGTCTCACATTCATAAAAGACCTGAAATAGGCCTTTCAGTCACGGCGCTCAAGACAGGCTACTTTTCTTAAAAAGATCTCTTAAAGTCCTTTAATCGCTAAAATTGTTTCTAGAAGTCTACTTGGTCTAGAAAAAGATCTTTTATCCATAGAAGACCTTCTGTCCTTGGAATGATTTTCCTGACTTACTGAAGAACTGTTGGATGCGGAATAGCCTGACTCTCTGCCTGTCAGTCCATTCCCTGACTCTCTGTCTGTCAGTCTCTTCACTATATCTCTCTTCTGTTTCTCTTTCTCCTCTATCACTCTTACCTCACCTCACCTCCCTCTCTCTCTCCCCCTCTCGTTCTCAGGAAGTACATAAAATTCTACTCTAAACTTCTCTAAACCTTCTAACGATTTCTCAGAGGTCCTCTATGACGAAAATACCAACTTCCAATTCCTCTCCGCTTTCCATTGCAGGAACGTTCGTTGGATGCCCGTATCATTGATGACAAATTGATTGCCAAACGAGAGAACAAAATCAATAGAGAGGTGCAACATTTCAAGGCTGTTATGAATGTCAAAGGTCGGGATGATTTGATCCTCTTGGATGGTGGCGTTATGCTGCTAATGCGCCATTTAATCATCAATAATTTTCGTGGCGATTTTCAATATTTTACCATGAACCTTTTTGGTGAGTTGGAGAATTCTAAGCGATCCAATCGTGGCCTATATAAGGTCGGCCAAGAGGACTACTTTTGACCACAATTTGACAGGAAATTTATCAGATTTTGCAATATTTTGATATGAATCTCCTTCGATTTCAAATCACAATTATGTTTTTGACAGAGGACTTGGATGTCAGATGGGTTTACTGGGCGACCTTATGTAGGCCTTGTATCCAATCTCACAATTTCAAAAGAGTCTCCTTTGTGTCCTTTCTGATTTCAATTTGTCTCTTTAACAATTTTCTTTCCTAGGTAAGATCCTGCGCTGTCAACTAACCATCCACCAGGATCGTAAGTCCATACGCATATTCCATCGCACCTTCAAGAACATCATACATGTTGTGAATACTCAATATTTCAACGACTACCCGCAGGAGGTCACCGAAACCTTCTTCACAGCGAATGGGAAAACCATTCTGCACTTTTGGCATGGCTACCGTTATGTCCTTCACGAAACAAAGGGTTTCGTTAAGAAATGTGAAAGAATTGTACCAAAATTGGAGCTAATGTGGCGTAGTCAAAATCAACTTTTGGATCAATATCGCCTCAAGACAAGGCTGACCTATGAAAATGCCTTGGCCTATTTTCAGGAACATCCTGAACTGGTCGATTTCCTAATGGACTACCTTTTAAATGTCATTCAATATAAACCGGAAAATGTATTGGAATTTACGGTGCGTTTCTTTCAGAAGTTTCGAAAACCACCACCAATAATGTAGGGCCTTTTTTTCGTTGGCAGAGGATACTCTCAGTTATTTGTTTTTGTAACCCCTGGCAACCCCTACCTGTATTCATGTGCATTGTTGATGTTGTCAAAATAAATTTTTAAATTGTCTTGACAAACATTTGTTTTATTTTTTATTTCAATAAAGGAATTTTGAAATTATTCAGTATCCTTTGACGAGTTACGCGGAATCCATTGCTGCGACATGGCTTCCTGTGAGAATTGTGGTCAGGAGGTAAAGAAATGTTGTGAGAGTTTTGTAATTTAAAAATAAAATGTTTGATTTGATTATTTCAAGGAACCAATGCCACCAGCTGAGGGCCAGGAATTGTTGAGGGAACAAAGAGAGGCGCCCAAGGAAGGACAGTTTGCGGTAAGTAGGAAGATGTTATTTTCAATAAATAGAAGTCGTTAGCGATTGCCAAATATGTGTAATCTATGTGGCGCTAATTACAATCTATGATTGTGGATTCTTTGGGAATATATTTTTAAAGTGGCGCCCAATGTCATTTTTAATTCTGGATTTTTAAATGACTTTTAGAGGCCGTAGTTGTATTTTTTTTGGGAAAATTAGGTGAAGAGTTGTTAGACGTAAATAGATAACCTAATGACATCTGAGGCGTGATTTATAAATATCACATGTAGATGGCGTTCATAGTCCCTAGATTACTGACAAAAAATTTGGCCAGAAACCCCACCCATGATTGTCGACCTTTAATTTTTTTTCCAAGGACTATAAAAAATGGAATTTTTTAAATACTTGCAAATTTTAAAAGAATATTCTTTGAAGAGCCATTGCAACTACAATCGTAGGTCGTCGTTAATAATCCTCACATCTTTACAAAAACAATGTGAAGGCCATAGCGATCTTTAATTGTGGATTCTTTGGGAATATATTTTCCAGGTGGCGCCCAATGTTATTTGCACTCCTGAAATTTAAAAAAAAAAACGTTTTAGAAGCTATTATCCTAATTATTTAGAAAATGTTTTAAAGGGCTCTCCGGACTACATCGATGACTGAGTGCCATCTGTTAATACCATTCTTATTTATCTTTATCACATATAGATGGCACTTATAGTCCCTAGATTACCGACAAACAATATGACCAAAAAACCCACCCGTGATTGTTGACTTCTTATTTTTTTTCCATGGACTTAAGAATATCTTTTGAAGAGCCATTAGAGCCCAATACGATCTGTAATTGTAAATTCTTGTGGGAATATTTTTTTAAAGTGGCTGCCAAACAATGTGGCCAAAAACCCCACCTATGATTCTTGACTTCTTATTTTTTCCAGGGACTATAAGAAAAAAATGGATTTTTTAAATACCTCCAAATTTTAAAAGAATATTCTTTGAAGAGCCATTAGAACTACAATCAAACAAGCAAACAATGTGACGGCCATAGCGATCTTTAAATGTGAATTTTTAGGGAATATTTTTTTAAAGTGGCGCCCAATGTAATTTGCACTCCTGGAATTAAAAAAAAAAACATTCTAGAAGCTATTATCCTAATTATTTAGAAAATGTTTTGAAGAACTCTCCGGACTACATCGATGACTGAGTGCCATCTGTTAATGCCATTCATATTTTTCTTCATCACATATAGATGGCATTCATAGTCCCTAGATTACCGACAAACAATGTGGCAAAAAAAACCACCTATGATTGTGGAATTTTTATTTTTTTTTTTTCCATGGAATATAAGAACAAAAATTGCAGAATTTTTTTTAAATACTTGGACATTTTAAAAGAATATCTTTCGAAGAGCCATTAGAGCCCAATACGATCTGTAATTGTGAATTCTTATGGAATATTTTTTTAAAGTGGCTGCCAAACAATGTGGCCAAAAACCCCACCTATGACTTATTATTTTTTCCATGGACTATAAGAAAAAAATGGAATTTTTTAAATACTTGCAAATTTTAAAAGAATATTTGAAGAGCCATTAGAACTACAATCGTAGGTCGTCGTTAATGATCCTCACATCTTTGCAAACAATGTGACGGCCACAGCGATCTTTAATTGTGGATTCTTTGGAAATATATTTTCAAGGTGGCGCCCAATGTAATTTGCAATCCTGAAATTTAAAAAAACGTTCTAGAAGCTATTATCCTAATTATTTAGAAAATGTTTTGAAGAACTCTCCGGACTACATCGATGATTGAGTGCCATCTGTTAATGCAATTCTTATTTATCTTTATCACATATAGATGTCATTCATAGTCCCTAGATTACCGACAAACAATGTGGCCAAAAAACCCACCCATGAATGTTGACTTCTTATTTTTTCCATTGACTATAAGAACAAAACTTGCAGATTTTTTTATATACTTGCACATTTTAAAATAATGTTCTTTGAGGTGCCATTAGAACTACAATCGTAGGTCGTCGTTAATGATCCCCACATCTTTGCAAACAATGTGACGGCCACAGCGATCTTTAATTGTGGATTCTTTGGAAATATATTTTCAAGATGGCGCCCAATGTCATTTGCACTCCTGGAATTTAAAAAAAACATTATAGAAGCTATTATCCTAATTATTAAGAAAATGGTTTGAAAAACTCTCCGGACTACATCGATGACTGAGTGCCATCTGTTAATGCCATTCTTATTTATCTACATCACATATAGATGGCATTCGTAGTCCCTAGATTACCGACAAACAATGTGGCTACTGTGGACTTTTTATTTTTTTCCATGGACTTAAGGAACAAAACTTGTAGATTTTTTTTATATTCTTGCAGATTTTAATATAATGTTCTTTGAGGTGCCATTAGAACTCCAATTGTAGGTGGCGTCCAACGTTTTACCGTTGGTGAGTTTCACTGCTAATTATTGGTGTTGTCATTTGCCACATGAAGATGTCATTCATGTTCCATGTAAGCAACGAGGCGACTAATGTGACCTATATTCATTAATTTTCGGGGAATACCACATGCAGATGTCATCCAAAATCCGTAGATTATTAATATTTTTATATTCTCATAAATTTTTAAATAATTTTCTACGAAGAGTCATTAGAACAACAATCGTAGATGGCATCCAATGCTACAGAATTTCAATTAATCAACGGTTTGTGTCACTGCTAATTATTAGGGTTGTTATTTCCGATAGGTAGATGTCACTCATGATCCACGTCTATTGCCAGAAATGGGGCGACCAATATAAACTATAGCCGTTGACTTTTTTTAAAGAATATCTTTTTAAAGACTAAAATGCAATAATTATGAAAGTGGCGCCCAATCAAGGGTTAGTGTCACTACTAATTTTTAGGGTTGTTATTTCCCATATGTAGATGACACTCATGATCCATGTCTATTGCCAGCAACGGGGCGACCAATATAACCTATAGTAGTTTAGTTTTAAAAAATATCTTTTCAAGGACTAAAATGCAATAATTATGAAAGTGGCGCCCAATCCAACATTACATGGGGACACCACTTGGCAAATAGTAAGTGGTGGGAGTCGCTGCTAATCAAATGTATTGCCATTTCCAGCATATAGATGTTGTACATGATTTCTAACTCCTCGCAAAAAAACGTGGTGCCTAATGGTGGCATTCCACTAGGAATATTGTTTTCAAGAACTCTCAGGGGACCCATAATGTTATGTTATATAGTAGGAGTCATTTAAAATTTATTTTAAAAAATGATTATTCTCATTTCTCACACATAGATGTCGTTCGTCATCGCTATGTCCTTGACACATAATGTGACACCCAATACCACTCTCTGACCTATCAATAGAATACCAATAATAATGGATTTTTTAGGTATATTTTTCAGCATGGCATGGATTCTTTAGATTTTTAATGCAATATTACAAAGGGACCGACAATTTTATATTATGAAGTGAAGCATGGCATTGCATATTATACAGGGTGAGATAAAAAAACTGCAACAAAGTCAAACGCCATAATTTTTACATTTTTTTTAAATTTTGTCGGAAAAAAATTGTCGGAAATAGCATCAAATTTTAGAATAAGTTTGGATTTGTTCGAATTCGGTCACCTTTAGCACGAACTATGGCCTTCAAATGGCCAATGAAACCGCCGTCACACGCTGCCCGAATATTGCTCTGCGATATTTTGGCCCATTCCCGGCGAAGCGCTTGCATGAGGTGATCAACATTTTGGTATTTTTTAATACCAACCTTGCTTTCCAACAAAATACTTCAGACACAATAGTCCAACGGATTGGTATTCGGAGATTTTCGTGGCCATTGTGCGTTGGAAATGAAGCTCATTTTGTAACCATTCTTGGGTTGCGCGTGCTGAGTGAGATGATGCTGAGTCCTGTTAGAATTTCCAAGGTCTGCGGCCAAAATGTTTGCGTGCCATAGGATGTAATAAACCCTCCAGAATATTTTTTAATATTCGGCATTTATTCTGATGTCACGGTCGATTAATATGAGCAGAGAGCGACCGATCGCCTGTTATGGCGGCCCACACCATCACCATGGCCGGCGCTTGAGTTCTGGTGGCCAACCGAAGATGCACGTTTTCAGCTGACCTCTTTGTCAAGTAAACACAATAATTTAGTTAGTTTAAAAACTGCTGAACAACGAATATTTTCTCATCGGAGACGGAGAAAACCAAATTCGGCAGTTCACAACTTTCGGCCAAAGGAAGCAACTCTGCAGCTCTTTTAAGTCTATTTTCTTTCCGTGGGGGTGTAAGTTCTTGCATTTTTTTGGAATTTCAATGGCTTTACCCCGAACACATTTTTCAATATTTGTCGAATGGAATATTGTGATATGTTCAGTTCACAAGCCATTTTTCGGCCACGAATATCTTTTTTTCTGGAAAATTCTCACTAAAATGCTTTTATACGTTTGTAAACAATGTAATGAGCTGTCGCTGGAATAATTTCAACAGCTGTCGAACGAGTGGCTTAGAAATGACAGCAGTCTGAATTTGGTTGCAGAAATGTCATATTCTATGGTGGTTGTCATTGCCTGTTAAGGACGTTCCCATTTCCCACACATAGATGTCGTTCGTCTTCCCTATGTCTATGGTAAACTATGTGACGCCCAATAGGTCGTTAATTCTTTAAGACACTCTTTTCAACAAATTTTTTTTTAAGGAAATTAGCCAAAGAAGCCTTCGTGGATTCTTCTGAGACATTTTTGGGTGCCCATGCCACATTGCAAAGGTACCTGTTAAAAATGTTTGGTGCCTGTTAAAAATGTTCCCATTTCCCACATATAGATGTCGTTCGTTTTCTCTATGCCATTGGAAAATAATGTGGCGCCCAATACTATCTTTAGTATTTTCTAGCTTTAGAATATTATTTTTAAAAATTTTGAAAGGAAGTTTTTGGAGGGTAAAACAATTGGAGCCTTTTTCAGCTTTTCTCATTTTCCATATATAAATGTCGTTCTTCGTCGCTACTATGTGATGTTTTTCTCACTTACCACATGTAGATGTCGTTCGCCTTCTCCATGTCTTTGGCTGGGAATATGGCATCCAATTCGTCCTTATGTGGTTGATTCTTCAAGGATATTATTCTCATGAATTTACGAAGGAAATCCTTCAAGGGCAAGAAAGTAATAGGAAGACTTATATTCTTAAAACTGCCTTAGGAGGGTTTCTACAGAAAATAGTAGGTTTTCTATAGAAGGAATTCCAATCATGGAAGACCTAGAAGTCTATCAAAGCTATAAATGTGAAAGAATAACTTATGAAGGTCTGCAGAAGACCTTCTAAAGTGTCCATCCTTGTAGAAGATCAGGAGAAGTTATCCTATATATAAAAATGTTTATTTCTTTCCCTTGAAACCCACTTCTATTTATGAAGCAGCTGTTAAAAGATCCTCATCATTTGAAAATATTTGTTGGTTTTTCAGATGTCCATTGGTCCCCAGGCTGATGAATTCAACAATCCACCCTGTTATCTACCGCAAGCCGAGGATGCCATGCCCATTAAAGATAACCTACAATCCATGGGACCAATAGGCCCATGGGCAACGGGTAAGGTTGATTGGAGTCCAATGGCAGGGTTGACTGGAACTCGGCCAGTGGTCGATCGTTACTCCATTACAAGGTTCAGTCCAAATGAGTGGAGGGCCAAAAATTTGGAAACCGTGAAGAACACGAATAAAATTTTTGATCGGACAATGAAGTAAGCCTAAGGCACCCCTTAATTAGCAGCAGAACTGAAAATCTCTTTTGCAGAAATCAATACAGCTGTAAAACTTCACTGGATCGCATAACCTCGCTGGTGGAGAAGACCCAGACGGAAACAACGGAAATGGTGCGCCAACGAGCCCGTCTAATTGACAAATGGAAAACCACATTGGGCACTGCCATCAAGGCAATGGCCGATGAAATTAGTACCCTGGAGGAGGAAAGGGTACGTTTGAAAAAATCTCTGGTTATTTTGGGTTTACCCGAATCCATTGCCAAGGAATGCATTGATAAGCGATGTGGCCGTCCTGATACTGAATTGGTGCGTGACACTCCCGAAGAGGAGTTGGTAAAGGAGGTGGCATTGATTGCCGAAATACGTAGACTTCTACAGAAGACACTGGAAGATTTCGAACAACAACAGGTGGAGAATCGCACGGCCCGTCAGCGTTTGGAATACGATTGGAGTGACAAGAAGGAGGCCTATGAAATTGATTCGGTTAATGCCCATTTACATAATAAGTCGTTGACGATTATGTTTCGGCCCGGAGCCATAAGGCAACCACCGGAGTGAGTTGGACTTGTTTTTTAAGTATTTTCAGGATTTTTTTTTTTGAATTTCTCTCTTTTCCTCATTGTTTCTCTCACCCTCTCTTTCACACACTCTCTCTCTCTCTCTCTCTCTCTCTCTCTCTCTCTGTCTCATTTATGTTTTATCCCCTTTTCAGACAAGCCTCTGAACAGTATTGGGAACACTTCAGCAAAGAAACCTTGGAGGAATGTGAAAAATGTCGCCAGAAATCCGTAAAACTGAGACAAACTCTAAATGCCACTCTGCTCAATGCGGCTCGTGACCTCAGAACCCAGGCCGATGTGGTGGAAAAGGCATTTGTATCCAGGATCAATTGCACCCAGGAGAATTTGAGACGCTTCGAAATTGATCTCAGAGATGTAGGTATATTTTTTTCCTTTTCTGGGTTCCTGCAGATAGATTGCGCCTCAAATATGTTCCATAGATGAAGACCTTCGAAAGGTCATTTCAAAAAGGACTGCAGGTTTCGGCTGCTATTTCACCCCCTTTATGTATTCTATATCTACAACCTTCCATATGTCTTCTATAATAAGACCTTCTAGAGACTAAACACGAAGACCCTCTGTGGGTCTCCAATATCTAGAAGAATTCTAGAGACTTCTCAAGCCCAAAATTCCTTCAAAAGGCCTTCTACAGAGGAAGAGATAAATAGGTCTGCCATAACTGGAAGAACTTTCATTTATCTTCTCTAAATTAAAGATCCTATTTTATAGGCCTTCTCTTGAATAAAACTTACATAGAAGACCCTGTATGGGTCTCCAATGTCTAGAAGGATTATAGAGACTTCTCAAGCCCAAAATTCCTTCAAAATGTCTTCTACAGAGGAAGGGATAAATAGGTCTGCCATAACTGGAAGAACTTTCATTTATCTTCTCCAAATTAAAGACCAAATTTTATAGGTCTTCTGTTAAATAAAACTTACATAGATCTTCTATAGCTGCAGAACCTTTAGCTATTTTTATACCTAAAGGTCATCAGAACCCTTGTATCTTTAGATGATTCCTTTTTACAAACTCCTAATTTCTTCTCTCCAATCCCCCTTCTTTTCCAGTGCCTTCAGAAACTTGCCGAAACAGAGACGCGCATCGAAAACTTGCATCGGGCAGTACGTAGCTTCGATGCCGCCATGAAGGTGGCTCAAACACGCATGGATAATCGTAGTTTCCGTCCCAATGTTGAAAATTGTCGCGATGCTGCCCAGCAACATTTAATCGATGAAGTTGCCACCATACAGAGTGGAGTCACCGCTATGCTCCAAGAACTGGACGAAGCGGAACAGGTCAAAACTAAGCTAATGCAAACTCGCAGCACATTGGAGCGGGAAATTATGTTGAAAAGACGTACCCTCTGGATAGATCAGGAACGTTGTATGCTGCTGAGATCACATTATCCATCAGCAAATGCCCTAAGTGGTTATGCTAGTATTTAGAGGATATCGGCAGAATGGATTTTCAGATTTAATAAAAAACATATATTTTATTTGTTTTTGTTGTTGTTTTTTTTTCTTATCAGCTAATTTATGTTGTGTTTAAGTTCTCTGTTTTTTTACATCACATAACCCTGTTTCCCCAATTCCTGTTGGACTTGTTTGTCTTCTTTGATGGCCTCAAGCCATGCCGTAGAGGAGAAGTCATCAAGGGTTCCACCATATCTGTAAGAAAAAAATATTTAATCAGTATTCAATAGGGCAAAATAAGAATGAGTATTCCGGAGGAGTAAAATATGGGGCAAGGATCATCATTTTTCGTAGCAAGGCCTACTAAAAAATCGGCGTGGCGCCCAATGCGAGCCAAAATTGTGAATTAAGAAATAATGAAAGTTTTTTTAAAGAACCACCACAGCTTCTAACGAGATCGTGGCGCCCAACACTTTAGCATTAAGAGGAGCAATAAACCAGTAAGCAAGTGTCAAAAGTCGGACAGGGTCGATTATATGATACCCTACACTATGCTTATTAAGTAGAGCTTCCTTCCCGGTGAAGCGCCTGCTCAAGGTGATCGACACTTTGATATTTTTTGGTCCCAACCTTGCTTTCCAAAATACTCCAGACACAATAGTCCAACGGATTGGTATCCGGAGATTTTCGTGGCCATTGTGCGTTGGAAATGAAGCGAGGAACCTCATTTTGTAACCATTCTTGAGTGGCCACCACTATGCCTATTTAGTGGAGCTCCCGTATCAAAAAAAGTTTACAGGGTGAGATAAAAAACTGGAACAAAGTCAAACGCTATTTGGCACGAATTATTGCCTTCAAACGGCCAATGAAACCGTCACACGCTGCCCGAATGTTGCTCTGCGGTATTTTGGCCCATTTCCGGCGAAGCGTTTGCTTGAGGTGATCGACACTTTGGTATTTTTTAGTGCCAACCTTGCTTTCCAAAATACTCCGGACACAATAGCCCAACGGATTGGTGCCGGAGATTTTGGTGGCCATTGTGGGCTGGAAATGAAGCAAAGAATCGCATTTTGTAACCATTCTTGGGTGGCGCGTGCTGAGTGCGATGTTTGCGTGCCCAAGGCTTTAACACACCCTCCAGAATATTTTCGCGATAATATTTGGCATTTATTCTGATGCCACGTTCGATTAATACGAGCGGAGAGCGACCATCGGCTGTTATGGCGGCCCACAACATCACCATGGCCAGCGCTTTAGTTCTGGTGGCCAACCGAAGGTGCACATTTTCAGTTGACCTCTTCGACAAGTAAACAAGATCATTTGGTTTTTTTACAAACTGCTGGACAACGAATGTTTTCTCGTCGGACAGAGAGAAAACCAAATTCGGCAGTTCACAACTTTCGGCCAAGGGAAGCAACTCTGCAGCTCTTTTAAGTCTATTTTCTTTCCGTGGCGGTGTAAGGTCTTGCATTTTTTGGAATTTCAATGGCTTTACCCCGAGCACATTTTTCAATATTTGCCGAATGGAATATCGCGATAGGTTCAGCACGCGAGCCATTTTTCGGCCACTGCGACGTGGGTTTCGATCAAGTCGCTTCTTTACTTTTCGAACCATTTCTGCTGATGTTGCTGTTTTCTTCCGCCCACTTCCTTGACGTCGAGCTACGCTACCACGGTATCACGGTAACGAGTGATGGTACGAGACTCAAAAGATTTATTCACATTTAAATGCTGGAGGGCTCTAACTGTAGCCACTTGTGGTTTTCCGGCCAAATATAAAGAAATCACACTATCACGCTTGAATTCCATCACGAATAACTTTTTTTCTGGAAAATTCTCATCAGAATGCTTATGTACGCTTGTGAACAATATAATGAACTGTCACTGGAATAATTTTAACAGCTGTCGGACGAGTGGCTTAGAAATGACCGCAGTCTGAAGTTGGTTACAGTTTTTTCATCTCTCCCTGAAAATGCCGAGGGAGGTATATAAAGTAATTTCAACAGACTGACATACGTTCGGACATCTAAAGCTAAATTCACATAGAATTTTATGCTGATAAAGAATATATATACTTTGTTGGGTCTGAAATTATTACTTCGAGGAGTTACAAACGGAATGACGAACTTAATATACCCTCCATACAATGTATGGTGGAGGGAATAAAATATAACGACCTATAAGGATGAGATGACTTCTTCAAGCGCCATAAGTGTTACAATTATGAACATGGCGCCCAATATATCATATCTATCATTGCAAAAAAGTGTGTGCCTTATTATTTCCCACATATAGATGTCGTTCATGACCCCTTTCCTTTTGACAAGCAGTATCTCGCCCATTTTTTAAAAAATAAACCTCGTGAATATTTTACCATTTTTTGTTTTATATATGCAGTTAAGAACATGGTGTCCTACGAATTGAATGGCGGAACAATGAATATAGCTATTTCCACACATAGATGTCGTTGTTGATCACCAGATTATTGGTAAATGATGAGGCGCTCGATACTTTCTCTAAATGTAGAATTGTTAAAGAAAATTGTAAATAACTATCTCAACACTATTTGTGAACTTGGTTCTCAATACATAGGAAAACCAAGTGCAACCCTTCAGTAGTACATAGATGTCATTGCTAATGCGGGTGTTGTCATTTCCCACACATAGATGTCTTTGGTGACACTTACCTCTTTGGCAAGCAATCTGGATTAATGTGTTTATGCAATGATGCCATATCCGATCCATGAATAAATAAATGTTCACGCATTTTGGCATCCATAAATGGCTGAAATATTTTCAGGGCAGCATTGAAAACAAAATTCTGATTCACAATGTGTATGGAGGCAACACGGGTTGGCATAGATGTCTGAAAAAAGAAACCGAAATTCTTTTACAAATTTCCTAAATCTCCTACAGAAAGTTCCCCAACACTTACCACCATCAAGGCAATCATTTTGGAGGCCACACTTGGACTCAAGTGCAAAATATGACTCAATGAGAATCCCTGTAAATCAAAAATGCCAATACCACCCACAACCTGGGTAATGGGTTCCATGCCACCCATTTCCAGGAGGCAAACTGAGGCACGAAATATATCATCGGTGGATACTTCACTCGGCTTCCAAAGACCAAAACGATAAATCATTATCCGACGTCCACATTGATCTCTGTACGGTGTGACATGAACAATATCCTTGGCCGCAATATAGGTTAGGTCCATGGGGCGCACTTTCTCAAAATACGATTTGTTTTGATCGCGAAATTTGTAATAATTGCAAAGCTATGGAGAGGAAATATTTTGGCATTGGTTTTATGAAAAATTATGATTTATATTCTCCTGAACTTACCAATTTATAACTATGCGGAATATTCCAATAGCGGGCCCTCAAAAATCTCAGCAGATACTCATCCTCTGTGCGATGTGGTTGACATCCATTGTGCTCGAGTATATAGTTACGGAATTCTTCAATTGTTTGTGCTCGGGTCTCTTCACACTCGCCCTGTTCAATGGCAACCTTTTTAATGTCATCCGGTAACTCTGGCTCCAAATTTAGGCGATATTCAAATGATGGCATTTTAACTGAAAGAAAAAAAAACGGGATAGAGGTAAGAAAAGGAAAAAATGTTCAAGGATGATTTTTTTAAAAATAGGACTAACAGAGCCACAAACCTGGATTTTTTGAGAAACATTTTTTCAGGAACCATTAAATAGTATTTTTGAAAAATATTTTTCAAGGACTAAAATCGTGGATTTTTTAAAAACATTTTTCCAAGGACCAACAGAGCTACAAACGTGGATTTTTAAAAAAATATTTTTTCAAGGACATACAGAGCTACAAATGTGGATTTAAAAAAAAAAAAAAATTCAAGGACCATCAGAGCTACAAAAGTGGAATTTTAAAAAAAATTTTTCAAGGACCAACAGAGCTACAAACGTGGATTTTTTAAAAATAGTTTTTCAAGGACCAACAGAGCTACAAACGTGGATTTTGAAAAAATATTTTTTTCAAGGACCTACAGAGCTACAAACGTGGATTTTTTAAAAATATTTTTCAAGGACCAACAGAGCTACAAACGTGGATTTTTTAAAAATATTTTTTCAAGGACCAACAGAGCTAAAAACGTGGATTTTTTAAAAATATTTCTTCAAGGACCAACAGATGTACAAACTTGGATTTTTTAAAATATTTTTTCAAGGAACAACAGAGCTACAAACTTGGATTTTTTAAAAATATTTTTCAAGGACCAACAGAGCTAAAAACGTGGATTTTTAAACATATTTTTTAAGGACCAACAGAGCTACAATAGTGGATTTTTTAAAAATATTTTTTTAAGAACCAACAGAGCTACAAACGTGGATTTTTTAAAAATATTTTTTCAAGGACCAACAGAGCTACAAACTTGGATTTTTTAAAAAAAGTTTTTCAAGTACCGAAGTGGATATTTTAAAAAAAAGTTTTTCAAGTACCAACGTGGATTTTTTAAAAAAGTTTTTCAAATACCAACGTGGATTTTTTAAAAATATTTTTTCAAGGACCAAACGAAGCCAAAATAGTAGATTTTTTAAAAAAATGTTTTTCACGGGATAAACGAAGCCAAAAACGTGGATTTTGAAAAAAATATTTTGGAAAAGACAAACGAAGTCAAAGTCGTGTATTTTTTAGAAACATTTGTTCAAGAACCAAACGTCAAAAATAACCTGGATTTTTAACAAATATTTTTTAAGGATCTAACGCAGCCAGAAACCTCGATTTTTTTTAAATATTTTTTAAGGACAAAACGACGAACGACGAAACAAACCTGGACTTTTAACATTTTTTTATGGACCTAACGAAGTTAAAACTCTGGATTTTTTTAAATATTTTTTAAGGACCGAACGAAGCGAAAATCCTAGAATTTTTTTAATATTTTTAATGACCGAACGAACCCAAAAAAGTGGATTTTTTTAAATATCTTTTTAAGGACCCAACGAAGCGAAAAACTTAGATTTTTTTAATATTTTTAATGACCGAACGGACCCAAAAAAGTGGATTTAAAAAAAAAATTCAAAAACCAAACTAATCCAAAAAACGTGCATTTTTTAAATGCTTTTTAAGGACCAAACGAAGCTAAAAATAAACGGGGACTTTTTAAATATATATTTTAAGGAGCAAACAAAGCCAAAAATATTTAATATTTAAAAAAAATAAATTTTTAGGATCGTTAATTTTTTAAAAAATTATTTCATAATCATGGATTTTTTAAAAAGTTTTTAGGGACGAAAGGAAGCCAAAATAGTGGATTTAAAAAAAAAAAACAAATAATTCCAGTGACATACAAATTGAGCTTAGGAAACCGGTTTTGTCATTGAAAAGTAAAACGCTGATAACAACTTGTGTTCCAATTTTACTCATGCCTTATCTATAAAATTGAAAATAAAATGGAATTTCAAAATTCGAAATTTGTAATACACATCCAAAATGGGAGGCATTGGTAAATGCATTTTATGTATTTCTTATCGCTTGATGGCCAGTGCATGTCAACACCCCGATGAAATCCTATTTTTTACAATATTTTTAAAAAAAGAAAAACATGGTTGGACTTTGGCATTTTGAGTCTCGGAATTCACTTTTTATTTATTTATTTATTTTTTTTTTTGCCTTCAAACACAAACAGAATTCATTTTGAGATCGTCAGACATGACAGATGTTGTTCATCTGTCAAAATGACAAGATAAACTCTAGACGAAAGTAGCTATCTAACTAATTACCCTGGCAAACAAACGATTTGCTGAATAAGTGGAACTATGCAAACAGACACACATACAAAAACTGAGAATCCACCTGTTCCATCTCCATGCTGAACCGTTTAGTGTGAGATTGAATGATTTTTTTATTTTATTTTGATGACTGTCACAAATTAGTTGTTTTTTTTTTTTTTTTCATTTGAGGTGTGAGATTCGTTCGTCAATTTTTGTGTTATGAAAAGGTCGCCCGGTTTCAAATATCCCTCCCCCTTTCCCTCGTCCACCCAACGGACGACAACGATTGAAAATACATATTGAGATTTCAGTATCCGATGGTCATATTGTTGATGCTATTGTACTCATAGCATAAATATTTCCTTCCATAGATCATAAAATTTAAATGTGGAAAAGTGGAAGTGGTTGTAGACAAAGTATTGGAGAACATTAATGCAATTGTTTTTGTTGCTTTTATGACATGTCAGAACAAAAGCATTCAAATAATGTATACAAAAAAAAACTAAATAAAAATAAAACAAGTAAAAAATGCAGAACCTTGAATATCCTCAACCATTTGGAACGAATTTGGAAAATATTTCAAAAAATAAAATCCGTTAAAATCTTAAAAATACCGAATATATCCGTAGAAAAAATACCGGTAATACGAAGACGTGGACCTGCATAGACAACTTTTGTCATATGCCATTACAATATTCGAATACGAAACTTGAAAAAAAATATAGGGATGTACCGTTATATCGGGGCTATACGAAGACCTGGACCTGCATAGACAATTTTCAGTTACAGGCTGTAGCACATATGAGGAACTTCAAATACGAAATTTCAAACAATTTTGGTGAATAATGTACCTAAAATCGTCAAAATACCGAATATAGGGAGGTACTGATATATAGGGCCTATACGAAGACCTGGACCTGCATAGACAATTTTCTATCATAGACTGTAGTTCTCAATATGAACTCTAAATACGAAATTTGAAACAACCCTAGTGAATTATGTCGCTAAAATCGTCAAAATACCAAATATCGGGAGGTACCGTTATATGGGAGCTATACGAAGACGTGGACCTGCACAGATAATCTTCTGTCATAGGCCGTAGTATTCATTTTAAACTTCAAATAACAAATTTGAAAAAAGTCCGGTGAATAATGTCGGTAAAATCAACAAAGAACCGAATATCCGGAGGTACCGTTATATGGAGGCTATACGAAGACGTGGACCTGCACAGACAATTTTCTATCATAGACTGTAGTTCTCAGTTCTCTCTCTAAATACGAAATTTGAAACAACCCCAGTAAATAATGTCGCTCAAATCGTCAAAATACCGAATATGGAGGCTATACGAAGACGTTAGCCTGGATACACAAATTTTTGTCAAAGGCTGTAGTATCCACTACGAACTTCAAATACCAAATTTGAAAGAAGTCCGGTGAATAATGTCGGAAAAATCAACAAAGAACCGAATATTCGGATGTACCGTTGTATGGGGGCTATTCTAAGACGTGGACCTGCACAGACAATTTTCTGTCTTAGGCTGTAGCACTCATTTCGAACTTCAAATACCAAATTGGAACCAATTCCGATGCATATTGTCGCAAAAATCATTCAAAATACCAAATATCGGGAGGTACCGTAATATGGAGGCTATACCAAAACGTGGACCTACATAGCCCATTTTTAATACCAAAAGTCCTGCAGACATAATATACATTTGAGTAAAATTTTATCAATCTACTTCAATTCGTTCGGAAGCTAGAGTGATTTCCACAGACGGACGGACATCGCTAAATCGACATAGAATTTTATGCAGATCAAGAATATATATACTTTGAGGTGTGTATATTTCGAGATGTCACAAACGGAATGACAAACTTAATATATCCTCCACACTATGGTGGAGGGTATAAGAAAATGTATTTATATCTTCAGTTATTTTTATGTACTGCATCATTTTTAACTGGTCTCGGTAAAAATTTGATATATCTCCTAAAAAAGTTCGATGATATCATTGTGGCGCATGCGCAATTCGGTAGCCACTCATTAACTTAAATTCTACAAATTTATAATTTATGCATATGAACCTCAAAAGATATTGAACTGTTAAAATATTATACAACCGCCAGATATTAAACAACCACAGAAGTATAAAATTCGGACATTTATTAATTACATTTTTAGAAATAATATCTTCGTTTATTAAACAAGTTGCATTTTTCACATCTAGATGTCATTAATAATTAAAAATAAAACTAAAGGAAGAGGGAGAAGAGCGAATATAGACTCTTTGTTATGAATAACGCTATTGTAGACTCTCTTTAAATATGTTCACATGGTACCTGTTTTGATCCATATTCGTTGTTTTGCTTAATTCCCCACACACAGTTTTCTGATTTGTTCATTGTTTGCTTGAAAATTATATCAAAGAAATTGACAACATGAATGAGAAATAAAACTCATGTACATCATTTTGAGAGCGAACGATGACATTTGAACTATCCAATAAGAACATGGCATTAAAATGTTCATGGGAAGAGACAAAATGCCGCGTTTTCCACAGTTTAAGTGCTGATGAGAACATGGCATTAGGATGTTCATGGGGACATAGCAATGCAGTGTAGCATACTCTTGACTCCCAAATCCAAAATGATAGTGCCGCGGTGATCCAGCTTTGTTTTAAATTCTTAAACTAGTAAATAAACAATTTGAAATACCTAGCATATAAAAAAGACATTTTTTTTTTGAATCAGAGTTGTATTTTAATACCACATACATACTGGGGTGATTGTCTGGATGCGTAATAGGGTAATTTCACACACATTTTTATACCGATTAACTCT